TATCTAAATAAAATGCGTGTGCATTCAAATGAAATTGATACGTATAAACCTTTAACAAAAGATCCTACAGATGGACTTAAATCTAGTCTAAGACATGCTTTGAAGATGTGCGTAAGTAGTGGGGAAATATAGAACTGGAAAATGAATTTCATAATACAAGAAAATAGTAGGGCATTCTCGGCTTATGGCCTTCTCAAGGTTAATATAGAAGAGTTCGCCCTTAGATTGATTGTTTAGATAAAGATTAGTGAGATGCCTAAAATGTTACTTTTTTATGCAGATAGTTAAAAGTGATAGATCGATACTGGCGTAAATTTAATTTGGTTCGAGAAGGCGGGTAGAAGGGGCCAATCTACGAAGATTAGCCCCACCGGATACCGCAGGAGGGTTGCCTTGGACTTTTGTCTGTTGAATTGTGCGAAGAAGACCTCGCATCACCGCCTTGGGACCCCGATGACTCGGTGCTGAGCTTTCCTCTGTCATGTGACGGACATAGTCTGAGCCAGAAACAATTACTGACGAAAGAACCACCCAAAAAAACTGAGCCAAGAAAGATGGCCAGCTGGGATCATACTCACTTATTGTACCTCACTTCGGGATGTTAATGAGTCATTCCATGATTTGGTTGGCTGACGTATGTTTGTCCACCATGCATTTAAGTGGGTCAAAGTGATGTAGGCAGGGGATCGGATGTGGTCACACACTACAAGCGTGTTTGCGTGTGTACGCAACAACCCCGAATTAGTTGACAAGTTTAGGTTCAAAAACAGGCTCCAGCCTAGTCTAGTCTTCTCCTCTTACTCAGTGGCTCTTCCTGATCCCTTTCATTCTATCTATCTCTCTCTCTCTCACACTCATTATATTTAGAAGCCAGAGATAGTTCTTACTTAGTTTCCTATATTCATTCCACTTATTCAGGATGTTATTCATTTTGTTAATTTCAATCTACAACCTGATCTTCGCTTAACTGTGAAGTCCTCATATCCGGCAAAACGTTGGGATTTAGACCACTCTATC